GAAGAGGTGGCAGGATTACACAGAAGAACTATACAAGAAAGAGCTTAACATCCCTGATAACCACGATGGGGTGGTCACTGACCTCAAGCCAAACACCCTGGAAAGTGAAGTCAAATGGGCCTTAGGAAGTCTTAGCAACAGTAAAGCTAGAGGAGGAGACAGTATTCCAGCTAAGCTATTCAAAATCCTAAAAGACGATGCAGTAAAAGTGGTACACTCAATATGCCAGCAAATTTGGAAAACTCAACAGTGGCCACAGGATTGGAAAAGGTCAGTTTACATTTCAATTCCATAGAAGGGCAATGCCAAAGAATGTTCAAACTACCACACCATTGCACTCATTTCACATGCTAGCAAATTTATGCTCAGAATCCTACAAGCTAGGCTCCAGCAGTATGTGGACCAAGAACTACCAGAAGTACAGGCAGGGTTTCAAAGAGGCAGCGGAACTAGAGATCAAATTGCCAACATACGCTGGATCATGGAGAAAGCTAGGGAGTTCCAGAAAAACATCTACTTCTGCTTCATTGAATATGCCAAAGCCTTTGATTGTGTGGATCACAACAAATTGTGGCAAGTTCTTAAAGAGATGGAAGTACCAGACCATCTTATTTCTTGACAAATCTGTATGTGGGTCAAAAAGCAACAGTGAGAACTGGACACAGAACCACTGATTGGTTCAAAATTGAGAAAGGAGTTCGGCAAGGCTGTATACTGTCGCCCTGCCTATTTAACCTATATGCAGAGCACATCATGAGAAAGGCAGAGCTAGATAAATCACAAGTTGGAATTAAGATTGTTGGGAGAAATATCAACAACCTCAGATATGCAGATGATACCACTCTAATGGCAGAAAGTGAAGAGGAACGAAAGAGCCTCTTGATTCGGGTGAAGGAGGAAAGCGCAAAAGTTGGCTTGAAACTCAACATTAAGAAAACTAAGATCATGGCATCCAGTCCTATCACTTCCTGGGAGATAGATGGGGAAGAAATAGAGGTAGTGACAGATTTTATCTTCCTGGGCTCCAAGATCACCGCAGACGGGGACTGCAGCAAAGAAACTCAAAGACGCTTGCTCCTTGGGAGGAAAGCTATGGCAAATCTAGACAGCATACTAAAAAAAAGAGACATCACCCTGCTGACAAAAGTGCATATAGTCAAGGCTATGGTTTTCCCAGTTGCAATGTATGGCTGTGAAAGTTGGACCATAAGAAAGGATGAGTGCCAAAGAATTGAGGCCTTTGAATTCTGGTGCTGGAAAAGACTCCTGTGAGTGCCTTGGACTGCAAGACGATCAAAACGGTCAGTCCTAGGGGAGATCAATTCTGACTGCTCTTTAGAAGGTCAGATAGTGAAGATGAAACTCAAATACTTTGGCCACCTAATGAGAAGGAAGGACTCCCTGGAGAAGAGCCTAATGCTGGGAACAATAGATTGCAAAAGAAGGGGACGGCAGAGGATGAGGTGGCTAGATGGAGTCACTGAAGCAGTCGGCATGAGCTTAAGTGGACTCTGGGGGGGGGGGGGTGGAGGACAGGAAGGCCTGAAGGAATGTTGTCCATCGGGTCACGATGGGTCGGACACGACTTCACAACTAACGACAACATTTTTTTTTAAATTATCTCTGCATGGGCAATGTCCTTTCTCCATGCCTTTGGACAAGTAAAAAACCAATTATTACAACATTGGTTGGCAAATATGGATAGTTGATCTCCCTTTGTTATAGTTTAAATCTGTGTGTGCACACATGCACACACACACACACACACACACACACACACGCACTCTTACTTTTCTGGCTTTGTTCTGTTGAAACTTATAATTTTTTAAAAGTTTTCTAGTTTGCAGAATTCCATCACTGATCTTTAAATTAAGTATGCTGAAATTTTCCAGAGTCAGATATTTCAAAACATTCATATTAGTGACATTGGATAAATACAGCTTAGATTTAGCTTTTGACATGTCACTGAAAGCCACTCAAAATGTTTGTTAGGAATACCGAGAGCATACATCAAAGCTGGAAAGTGGTAGTACATTTACACAATGGACTTTGAATAGCTGAAGCAACTGGAAGTCAGCAAGGGCCAAGCTTTTTCTGTCATTGCAGTGCAGTATTTGATTGAATCAATATGTAAGCATATTCTTAAGAGTAGTGGGGGGAAAAACCCATTTGAAGACCACAGAATTTCATATTAAATAGCATGTTATACAAGTGTTTGTTTATTTAAAGGTTGTTTTTCCATGTCAGCATGGAAACTTTGAAAAGCAGCAATTTAGAGTACAATACCTTTTTCTTTCATCACTGCCTTCCAGTGTTTTATTTTTATTTTAAGCTGGCTTGGAGGCATTTTTCAGTGAGATAGGTTAGGCTGAGATTCAGTGACTGCTTAAAATCCCCTAGTAAGTTTCATGGTCAAAAGTCTTCCAAGTCCCAATCCAACAGTCTAACCACTCCATCTCACTGGCACACTTGCCTGTGCAACTAAGTGGTAAATAGTTTAAAAATGCAAATAGGCTGCAATCTTTTAAGTAGTTTTTTGCTGTTAAGTCCCATGGAAGTTTTGAGTAGTCATGCATAGAATTTCATGATTCCGCTGCAATTCTATACACCAACCTTCCACAGCCTGGCTGAAGATTATAGAAGTAAGACCAACATCTCTGGGTGGGACAATTGGCATATACAATGACTAGTATGCTGTCCAGGTGTTATGGGAGTTACAGTTCAATACATCTGGGCAGGCCCAGGTTAAGGAAGGCTGTACTTGCTACTAATTCATGCTGAACTTAGCAGGACTTATTTCTGAGTAAGTGTGCTTAGGACTCCACTATAACATGTTACAATAGATATGGTAAATCCCTTCTATGGTTAGAAAAGCAGTTTGCAACTGGCTTCAAGACTGAAAACAGACATTCAAACAGGAAAAAGGTACAATAAGAATCCTGATGAGTTTTGAAATGCCAATTAAATATCAAAAAGGCAATCTATTTGGGTGACTAAGATGCAAGATTTTAAAGAAGAAATACTGTTTCATCAATGGGGAGTCCTGTGGACAAAGGATATAACATTTACAATCAGTCAAGCATCAAAATTGGTATGTTTTTCCAGTGGTTTTTTACCCCCAAAAGATATACAGAAAATGGTAGGAATTAAAATAGAATATGTTGGAAATGTAAAGAAGTAGATGGGACTTTTAACCATATGCGGTGGACATGGGATAAAATCAGACAACTTTGGAAACAGTTAAGACATGGAAATGCAGATAATTCCTAAAATTAATTTTCCCATGGATAGTAAGACTGCTATTGAATATTACACCAGAGACTCTTCCAAAGAGCATGCTAGAGCTATTCAAATATATGCTAACAGCAGCAAGAATTATAATTGCATCAAAGTGGAAAGCAGAAGACTGCCCCACTACTGCAGATGGGGAAAATGATATAGTTGAATGTGCAATAATGGTGAAATTAACTTATCAATAGAAGACCTGCCAAAGAACTTAATAAAAAATGTAAAGCTTATTATAAGCAAATGAAAATTCAAGAAAACAGAGCTTGCAAAAATATTACTAGTGACTTTTACCTAAGTGCAATTAGTTTGATAAATTACATCAATAGGTTTACAAATCTTAATTAATGTTTAACTGTAGATAGAATTTTTTTGCTTTTCTGTGCACTTATTAGACATTTAAATTATATATTTGTGTAATATATATGCTGTAAACCATCCTGAAATGTCTAAGTATGAGATGGTATAGAAGTTTTAAATAAATAATAAATATCCATTAGCATCCTTATTCTTATAAATATCTTTATTTGTATCTTAATTTTTAGTGAGAATAATATAAAAATGGAAATTTTTTTTAAAAAGCAGTTAGCATTCGTCCAACTTTTGTTTTATTCCTGTCCTTGAGTTTAATCACTGTCACCTGCACTAGTAAGATGAAGATTGTAAAGTTAGTGTGGTGGCCAGCTCTCGAGTACCATGGCACTATTTACACAGCGTATTCTGCAGAAATGAGGCCTAGGCATAACAAAATTATGCCCCTCCGCACCCCCCAAAAAACCCCCCAAACAAACCCACAAGGTTTCTCATTGGAAAAAATGGGGGGAAAGTATAATGAGAAGGATAAAAAAAAATCTTCAAGAGAGACACATACTTGATAGCTTTAGGTTGTATAAAGAAGTAAAAAATACCACCGCTAATAAAGCAGAAAATCATAACTTAAGCCTACCGCCCAACTACTTTACATTTAGTCAAATAAAAGCTGCCCTCACCACGTGGGCTGTAGTTAACTGGCATGCGACGGAAGTTGATGTCATTGTAGGAAGACCCCAATTAGTCGCTTCCGCTTTTATCATCTGTTATTAATGACATCGCGTAACAAACCCGCCCCTTTCTTCGCCCTCAAAATAAGGACTTCCTATCGGAGAAGCAACCTTCTTTCTCCTCGTCAAATAGCTTGGCTGAGGCTGCATCGTCTACGCTGAGCAGCTGCTTACGGGACGTTCCAAAGGGGAAGAGAGACCACTCTTAGGTGTCTATGGCATTGCCTGAATAAAAGCTACCCGGCATTTTCAATGCATAAAACTTTAGACTTAAGATCGTTCGACCGATATAGGTGTCTCTTCTTTTGGGTTCTTATGTCGCCTCTTTTACTGTTCCCTGGGCAAAAGTGACAGCTGTTTATAGAAAACAGCGAGGGGCCATTTTTAGGTGTTTTAAAACTCTCCGAAAGCACCATCGTTTTCGTGGGGGTGTGTTTGTGAGAAGGCATCCCGACACTCCACTGTTATACAGAAATCCCGAATTTCTTTGTCTACTTCCATGGGAAGAGAACAATAGGCCTTAAAGGAACCGGCAAGTTTTAAATACAAGCAACGATGTCAGTCAGAGTGATTTCTATATGTATACTAGTCATTCAGGACCTCGAAGCTGTTTTCAGCGCTGCCTGTGACACATCTCCAACCTTTCTCCGAAAAGGACCCCGCTTGTCTTACGCGCTGCCTGTAAAAACAACAAGCAGGCAGCCCTCTCTCCTTCGTTCCCCTTTTCACGGGTTCTCCGCTCAGTATTATCTGTTTTTTCTCTGTAGGCTCTTGTCGGTCGGCGAGCGGGCGCCGGGGGAAGACGCGATGGACCAGTGCGTGACGGTGGAGCGCGAGCTGGAGAAGGTGTTGCAGAAGTTTTCGGGCTACGGGCAGCTGTGCGAGCGGAGCCTAGAAGAGCTGATCCAGTACGTGGCGGGACTGCGCCACGAGATCCTCCAGAGCGAAAGTATGTGCCCCACGCTTGTCCCCCAACAGGAGGGTTACTGCCTCGGCTTCTTATAGTAGGTCCGCTCTTGCGCAATTAGCTGGAAATCGACAGGCAGAAATTCAGGAGATGAAGCTTTCCTCGCCGGTATGGGTTGTTTCGACACACCGCGTATCAACATGCCCAGGTTTACTACACGATCAGTGCCTCCTGCTCTTTTACCAATATGCCTGTAGCGAGCTTGAGTTTCCAGACATCTGCTGGTTGAGTTAGAGCTGCATTGGTTAGATATAAACTTTGAAAAATGTTGTTGGTAATGTGCGGGAAGATCTATTATCTGATAAAATGCCATGTTATAGAGCACTCTTGAAAGCACAGGGCCAGAAATGATGGCAGTCCTGCATATAAGTGCAGGTCTGTGTCTGTCTGTCTGTCCAGGCAGAAAATTAGACAGATTATTTTATTGGTCAGTGTTGCTGCAATATTCCTTAGGTTGGATTCCTTACCAAACTTTCAGAGGGACCGTTTGTTATAAAGGGTGTTGAATGAGCTGTAGGCTGTTGCTTTCTTTGTCTGTCTTTTTGGTGCTATGTAAAGGAATAGTTGTCTGGAATATTTTAATTGTCAGATTTAGTAGCAAAAGGGGATGTTGTTTCCCCTTCTCCCTCCACCTCTGAAAAGACTGGTATGACAAATCATGTAATAGTAACTTGTCAGGATATGATTCACAAGTCTTAGTATCAACAGCCAAATTCCAGACAGCAAGTAATTTTTCTGGATGGGCTCTCAGAGAAGTGAGTGAGGGGTAATGGTCAGCATCTCATACCTGACATTTAAGAAGTATTTTTTTGTCATAGATGTCCTTTTGTTTCATGTATCTTTGACATTTATGTTACCAACTGGAAGCTTAAAGTTAACATAACTTGGAGGCTGGCTGGAGCAGTATTCCACACAGTCATGATTAGGATCATGGGCAGTGAGACAAACCTGTCTTTTCTTTGGCTTGTTTTTGGCCAAAGTCAGTTAAATTTAAAGAGATGATGTAAACAAAACTACTGCTGTATTTTAGATGATTTCCTAAGAGCTGTATTTAAGTAACTGTTGGCATGGCTTTGTTTTATGTGAAAGAGCTATTTCTGTTTATCTGTTCATAGAGGTTTTGAATTTTTAATTAACATATAATGCAAAGGGCTACATATAAAGTTAACTTGATTTTCACTTGAGCCTTAGTTTGAACATGATGGAGAGCCTTCACCTTGTAAGAAAAAGGGTTTCAGTTTTGAGTTGCAGAAATATTTTGTTTGGACATCTTGAGTTGAGGCACACTGGAATATACCTAGTTATCACATGCTTATGAATAAAGGAGAGAGGCACTAAGTTATTCTCATCGGGAAATAATGTTTATTATTTCACCCTGGGTAATAATGAGATTAGTCATTGGCGATTCCTGAAAAAACAACCCAGAGCATCAGCAAATGGAGACACAATAACAGGTTTGTTAACTATCCTATAACTACAGTTGGTGCATACATACACACATTCTGCTGATGTGACTGAGTCCATATATGTAATTTTGTACAACATTTCAGTGAGGCACTTAAGGATTGAATAATTTATTCAGAAGTATTGCTTTATTGGCACTTACTCCTGTATAAATGTGTTTTCATACAGATTTACTTTTAATGTAGTATTTAAAGCAACACTTAAAGATAAAGGTTATTGCTAAAGACTGACAAGAGAAGCCTGAGCCATTTAGATCTGAAGGTAAATACGATTCTCATAATATGACCGTTTCAGATGACATTTAGAGAGAGCAATATAAATTGGGTTCCCATGTGGGCCACCTGTTGACATGCTCACAGCCTGGCAGGAAATGCATGTTGGCATGTATCTTAAGAACAAGTACGTCCATGTGGAAGCTCACACTATTGTCATGACTGCTTGAAATCTGGGGTCTATGTTAATAGTCACCAGGGGGAATTTTAAGTGAAGTTCAGTTGTCATGAGTCATGTGGAATTTTGTAGCAGGAATGGATACATGAGCTATTTGTTCAATATGCCATTAAATTTAGATGCAGATGCTCCTGCTTCTTCTTTAGACTATAAAATAGAAATGTAGGAAGTAGTAGTATGGGTGTGAAAGATGGTGGCTGGAATAGTTTGCGGCAGTACATAACTATTGAATTAATGTGTGAGGATTAGGTCACAATGGATACACATGGAGAAAAGGTCTGATGGAGCAGTGTTTTTCTTTCCTAATTCTTTTCAAACCCTGATCTTGGTGTCAATATTGAGTGTTTTTATGTTATGCAATGATCTTCAGTGTTTTGAACTATGCAGTACTTTGACTTGCTTAGCACTTTTTTGTTTCCCATGGTTGATTTTCTTACATAGTTTTGTTATCAAGTCACTATTGCTCAGAAACTTATAGTACCTTATGGTTTTCACATGAGGTGATGCTCAAGAAGTGATGCAACCTTTTAATTTGAAGAGGAAGCACCACAGTGGTTTCATTTACACAAATTGACAGGTCATGCTGGAAACCATGCAGGCATGGCTTACCATTCTGTGTGAACCCAGTATCCATGGTGAAGCCTGGTTTATTTGGTTTCCATGAAAGCACATGGAGAAACATTTTTTTTGCTGTAAGGTTTCCATACTTCACCATGGCTTGTCATTATGGATGACCCCACTTGCCGTGTTTCCACACAGTTTCCACATTTCTTTCATGGAGTTTGATAGCTCCATTTGGGGCGGTGGCCACAAGTGAGGAGCAGGTACTCCAGATCCAGAAGGATGTAGACAGACTATGGAAGGGATGGGGATAACAGGATGGTGTTCAATGTGGATAAATGCAAGGTCTTGCACTTGGGGTATAGGAATAGGTGTCATAAGTACAGGTTAGGGGACAAGTGGCTGGAGAGCAGCACTTGTGAAAGGGGTCTTGGGGTACTGGTTCACTGCAGGCTAAACAAGAGTCAGCAGTGTGATGCGGCAGTCAAGAGGGCGAATGCCACCCTTGAATGCATAGTCAGAAGCATGGTCTCTAGATTGGGAGAGGTATTACTGCCACTCTATACGACTGTGGTGCACCGTCAGCTGGAGTATTTTATCATTCACCATCTCTTCTGCCTCTGTGCTTAAAAGCAGCGAGGTAAAATTATTTATGCTAGCATAGCTGATGATTCAGGCCAGGCAGCTTTGGATCTAGAAGAGCCAGTTTCAGTTTTTCTTAATCCCTGGAATGCCACATTTTGGGGTTTTCCACCAGCTACTGCCATCCTTACTCTCCAGTGTGCCGATACATCATACTGGCCCCATCTAGCCATCAACAGTATGTGGACAGGATTGCATTCTTAGTCTATTAACAATTTGTGTGCATATTGGGTTGCATCAGTCTATCAGGAATGGACTCTGGAAGGAATTGACACTCCCATCAGCCTGCCTCCTGAGCCTCTCATGGCTAGGAATGCAAGGGAAGGTTGATGCTCTGGACTGAGTTAGCTTGCTGGTGGAGCAAATGGGGGCAGAATGGACTTTTCAGACTTTGGACACATTGATTAGAAAACACAAATTCCTGTGAAGGGCAATACATACACACTCTGTTCAGGAATAAGCCCTGATGCAACAGTGCTTAGGCATATGAAGTACAGCTCAGTTTTAGGTGTTAACCTCAGAAATTGACTTTTAAAACACAAACCTTTCCTTTCTACCACTTCTTGCAGAACTGGTTAAACTACCTTTAAAGGAATTTAAATTTTAGCTTGTGTTTACCTTTCATAATATAGCTTTCAATATATCTTACAAATGCTAGCCAATCCTGCAGGAATAGCTTTCTTTCACAGCTGATAGAAAGTAAAGCTATCTGAAGAGGGTCCGTCTTTTTCATTTCAGAAGTTCACATATTGAAAATTAGCGTTATTTTTAATAATGCAATTAGCTCTGTATTTTCCTCTCTTCCGTCTAGATCAAGTTGGAGATCTGTCGGGGACAATATCACTTGTTATGACCCAGTGTTGTAAACGAATAAAAGATACCGTTCAGAAATTGGCTTCGGATCATAAGGACATCCACAGTAGTGTTTCCCGTGTTGGGAAAGCTATTGACAAGGTATTTATAGCATTAATCTCATTGGGTTAAAGTGCCTGGGTTTTTTAATGTTTGGGTGGGCTTTAGACTTAATCTTACTTAGACTGTACCTGTAGAACATGACTAAAACCCATTAATTTCAGTGGGCTTACTCTAAGTATGATTACATCTAATTAGCATTAACACTGGGGCCAATATGAGTGCAAGTGCTATTCACTGGAAACCACAGCTGACAAGGTACTGTTGGCTTGCACACCTCCCCTTTAATTTCAGTTGGGCTTGCATAGAAAACTTCCCTATAATTTCTCCTCTTGTTGCAGGTAACACTGCTTATATTTAATTTCCTTTCTTACATTTTCATTCTCTGTGCAGTTTCCAAAAATTAAAACTGTAGAAATAGGTTATAAATATACAGCACAGAGGGACAAACACATATCTAAATGTAATTTTAAACAATTGACAATAAGAATTGAAGAACTATTAAAACTGCATCATATGCATCAAAGTGCCTGAGAGAAGTTCTTAACCTGACACTGAACAGATAATCAGTGTTGTTGCCTGGCTGGCCTCATCAGGAAGGTCGTTCCATAATTGGGATGCCACCACTAGGAAGGCCCCCTCTCTCACTGCTGCCTTCTGAGCCTTCCTCAGAGGCGGCACCTGGATGACAGTCTTATATGATGAGCATAGTGTATGAGTAGGATCATGCCTGGAGAGGTGCTCCATCCAATATTGCTGTTCTCAGAAAGCTTCTTAGGACAGCACTTTGAAGTGGGCTCAGAAACATACAGGCAGCCAGTGCACGTGTTATATGTTCAAACATTCTGGTCCCTGTTATCAGTTTGGCCTCTGATTTTGCACAAGCTACAGCTTCTGAACTATCTTCAGAGGAAGCCCCACAGACAGTTCATTACAATACTCAAGCTTCAAGGTTACCATAACATAGATAACTAAGCCAGGTTAGGCCTGTTTAGGGAAAGGCACAACTGGGTCAGCCACTGAAGTGCATAGAAGGCAGCCTGTGCCACTGCGACTGACTGAGCCTCAAGTGATAAAGAAGGCTCCAGGAGAACCATTGAACTACAAGCTTGTTCTTTCAGAGGGAGAGCAACCCCCAATCCAGTCAGAAGAACCAGCTACTAAGAGCATTTCAGTCTTGTCCTTGTTAGCCCTTATCCAGGCCACTGTTGCATCCAGGCACTGATCTAGCACAGTTATGGCCTCACCTGACAAAGTAAAAAGGACAATTAGAGATGTGTGTCATCAGCAAACTCTGGATGGCCTGTACTCAGTAGTTTCATTTAGATGTTAAATAGCATGGAGGACTAACTGATTCATGTGAACCTCCATACTGGAGAATCCATGGGGTTAAGCAACATTTGCCAAGCATAATGTAATTCTGGTGCCAGGCAGAGAATTTTTGTTTGAAGTTTTAACCAGTATTAATTTATTGTACTATTCTTTCATCTAATTTGCTGAACCTTTATGCTGAATTATACACTGTTGCTCTGCTTTGTTTAATTAGCTATGCTTTTGTATTCAATACTGGGGTTTTATCATGCTTGTTATATGCCACCCTGGTAGCCTATGTGAAGGACAAAAAAACCTATTAAACAAGCAAACTATTATAAGCTGGAATGGCTGATAAAATATTGTAAAATGTTCAGACATATGGCAAAGATTTGAACAGTTTGATTGAAGAACTTGGGACACCCAAGGCTAGTTTCCAAGTATCTCCTTCCCGTCTGCACCTTCCTAACTATTCCTTAAATTCTCTACACTGAGGGCATACTTCTCAAACTCCTGTTGAGGTCCATAATAATTGGTTGTCTACCAGAAAAGAAATAAAAGTCGTGTCAGTCTATTGTAAAAAAGAGATATTGAAGTACATGAAAGACATATTTCATACAGAACAAAAGGGAATGAAAGGCAGTTTAGTAATAGGCAAAAGCAGTTTTCATAAATACAGGTAGTCCCTGGATTATGGACAGTTCTGTTCCTGAGAATGTCCTTGAGTTGAATTTGTATGTAAGTCAGATCACATAAGCAAGTCAAATGTTTGTCTTAGTATTTGTATATATTTTACCTTTCTATGCATATAAAACACTTAAGAAACACTTCCATATTCATGAAAACATCTTAAACACAATACAGCATTATGATAATGATGATGTTAGAGTAATAATAAAGCAACTACAGGTATAGGAGAGAGAGAATCTGTATGTATGTAGATATAACTATTCTTTCAGTACTGTATCACTGACCTCTTATGCCTGACTTAATCTATGTTTGGACTTCATTGTCTGTCTGTTTTTAATTTTAATGTAAGCCCAATAGAAAATAACTTGGACATAGAAACATAGAAACAGAGCCAGTCAGATGCGGCCTCCCGGGCCATCTAGTTTGACCCCATGGTTCCAGCCAGCTCTGCTCACGACATGCCTACCATGTGCATGTCTAGCCTATCCTTGAACACCCTCACCGATGGGGCCTCAACCATCTCCCGTGGAAGCCCATTCCATACCCTTGGGGTCCTAACTGTCAGGAAGTGCTCCCTGGCATCCAAAGTGAACCTTGGTTCCTTGAGCTTGGCTTCGTTGGAGTGCATCCTGCCCTCCTATGCAGGGGAGCGCATCCTGCCCTCCTTTGCTCACCTCCGTGTGACACCCCCTCACATACCTATATGTCACCAACAGATCCCCTCTGAGTTTCCTCTTCTCCAGGCTGAAAAGGCCCAGTTCCCTCAGTTTTGCCTCATATGGCTTTCCCTGCAAACCGGCCATCAACCTTGTGGCCCTACGCTGCACTGACTCTAACCTGGCTATATCCTCCTTGTAATGAGGAGCCCAGAACTGAACAAATACTCCAGTTGTGGGTGCACCAGAGTCATATAGAGTGGTAGTAATACCTCTCTCAATCTAGAAGCCATGCCTCTGGCTATGCAACCAAGGGTGGTGTTCGCCCTCTTGACCGCCACGTTGGACCTTCAAAAGTGACTTACCAGTCCCTTGTTATTCTCCAAAGTTCTCGAATAATGGGCTGCTAGGGCAGTTTATTCCAGTGTCTGCTTATTACATTCAAACATTTTAATCCATGGCAAATTAGTCTCAATGGATCCATGTACAAGGGCGAAGCTGGCTGTGCATTTGTTGAGCTTCCTGTTCCTGATGGAACACAAGGCTTATGTGGAAGAGGGGGCAAACATGTTATCTGAGGTGTTGAAGAGTTTGTTGGAGAAGGTAAAAACATTTGGTCTGCAGAAATGGGATTTTGTGACTATCTGTAGTGAAAAGCCATATATATCTCTAGCAAATCTCTGTCTGCAGTGAAAAGCTGTGAATATCTCTAGGGAACTATGCAGCCACTGATGACACATCACCAAATGCATCACTAAGTTCCCTAGAGATATTTGTGGCTTTTAGCTGGAGGTAGAGATTCACTAGAGAGATTCATGGATTTTTGCTAGAGATATTTATATAGGGTTTATGGCAGTCTGTGCTTCATAAGTACAGGTCGTTCATAACCCAGACATTTGTAACCTGGGGATTAATAAAAAGTAAAATGAGTGAAGTTTGTTTCTTCCAGAATTAACTTCCAGCTTTTATTTTACAGAATTTTGACTCTGACATCAGCAGTGTGGGAATAGACGGGTGCTGGCAAGCAGATAGCCAGCGAACTCTGAATGAGGTGATGGTCGAACACTTTTTCCGGCAAGGAATGTTAGATGTAGCTGAGGAGCTTTGTCAGGTACTGGCAGCTAGAAATCCTTACTCCAAGGAAAAATATAATAAATCCTTCACATGGGATACTGATGTAAAATTCATTCTTTTGCTGAAATCTTGATTAAAATAACCAATGTTTGTATGGATGTGACTGTTTTTCAGGAGTCTGGACTTTCAATAGACCAAAGTCAAAAGCAACCATTTGTGGAGCTCAACCGAATACTGGAAGCACTTAAAGTTAGAGTTTTGAGACCTGCATTAGAGTGAGTTACTCAGCTGTTTGGGGAACCTTCAGATAAAAATCTAAAGAGTATTGAACATCTGTCCTTTAACAAATACTGTTGCTGGTCCTCCACCAGTTGCATTGGCTGCCTCTTATTCCCTGGGCCCAATTCAAAGTGTTTGTGCTAACATACAAAGCCTTGAATGGCTTGGGACTGGGATATGCCTATCTCCATATATCCCTGCCAGACCACTCACATCATCAGTGGTGGCCCTCCTTCATGAACCCTCCACCCCATGAGGTGAGGGGGGAACTGGCAAGGAAAAGGGCCATCTCGGTATTTGTATCTGACCTTTGGAATTCTCTTTCAAGGGAGGTGTGACTGCCACCCACTTTATCTTGCTTTTGACACCAAGTCAAGACTTTATTTAGTATCTGTTTTTAGATTGGATTATTGGATGGCTGCTGGATTATTGTTTTATTGGTTATTGATCATATAGTGTTTATTTTCCTCCTGTTTCCTATTTATATGGTCGTATTTATAATATATTTTAATTTTACTGTGTTTTATGATTTTGTTTATTTTTATCTGTATTTTAAATATATTTGTATTGCACTGTGAGCTGCCTAGAGAGCCTCTGACTATGGGGCAGCATACAAATGTGATAAAATACATAAATGTTTAGGTTGGCAAGTTATTAGATTTAGATTAACTAAATTTGTTGCTGAATCCAATTGGGCTGAAGTTTCAAGGTTTCAACATGCTAATCCAGTCACAGGACAATTAATCTTTTCTTGGAATCGACCACTTCCAAGTGAGGTAAACATTGATCTACCAATTGTCAAGACCAAACAGAGATCCAAAAAGCTGTAGCAGTTTTATAAAGCAGTGAAGCTGAGCCTTGCAACTGAGGTCTCACAAATTTACCTACTTTGAACTAGTGCACATTAATACTATCTTCAGTTTCAGTTTCCCCCGCTCCCATTCAGGTGTAAGAAAGAATGAAATCAGGTACACAACTACCAGAACAGATGTATGTAGTAATTTTAGTTTTGAGAAGCTGGGCTGTTTGAGAGGGTAATATGTCCTATTTCACTCTCAATCCCTATAGGTTTTTTGTGCTGTGCGTGTTACATGCTCTTTGCCAAAATTTTCTGGGATTTTTATTACTTTGTTCTATTTAACATGTTTATGCATTTTCTTGAGTCCGCTGCCTTGAAAGTTAGCTGCAGGGAAACTGCAGCAGAGGGTAGCTCTCTAAAGAGAGAGTTGTATTTCTTTCTCTGCTTCTCATGCTGAGCAGTAAATGTAACACGGTTATTTAGAATGGCAGCATCAATAACTCTAAGGGAGCTTTGCCTAACCTTTGTCTTCTAGATGTATTAAGCTGCAGCTCCCATCATCCCCATTTGAAAACCATACAAAAATAGTAGGGGACTGGAGATGAAAAGAACATCTGGAGAGCATTTGTAAGGCAGAGTTCCTCATTGCCTTTTCTCCTCAGATCCTGGAATGTCTCTTCTTTTAAACAAATCTAACGTTTGGCCTGCTGTAGTATTGTTGTCCCTGCTTGTGTGCACACCCCACACTCAGGTCACTTGGAACTGGCCCACGTGCTCAACCATCACACAGGCCTTGAGAGTATAATGGAAAGCAGCCAGGGATTCCCCTGACCAGCTGGGCCCAAATCCCACCCAGGAATTCCCTGGTCCCTCAGTATCCAGACCAGACACTGAATCTAGCACACAGTCACCTAAGGATGGGGAATTTTTTAAAAAATGAAAAGATTAACTATAGGGGTGGAGGGAGATAAAATGCAAAAGGTTAAAAGGCTCAAACAAGGTAAAAAGGAGAAGGCAAGTTGGAAAGTAGCAGTGTATAGCTGAAAGCCAACCAAGTACTCCCCCAATCCTGGGGTCTTGTTGGACCACTCAGACCTGAAAATAACAAGGCTAACTCTCCTTTAATCTAGGCAGAAAAAAATTACCTTCTACAGCATGGGTCCTCAAACTATGGCCCGTAGACCGGATCCAGCCCACCATGCCCATTTATTTATTTAGCAAGCTTCTATGCCACCCCATTCACCGAAGCCTCGGGGCGGCTCACAACCATAAATAAATAACACAATTAACCATATAAAACAATATAATTGAAGACGTCCTGGCCAAAGATATAAAATCAATAAATAATATTAACAATTAAAATGACGTCTGAATAAAAAGGTCTTGGCCTGGCGCCGAAAAGCAACGATGGCGCCAGGTGGACCTCTCTGGGGAGCGCATTCCATAGATTGGGCGCCACTGCAGAGAAAGCCCTCCTCCGGGTACTCACCCTCCTAATGTCCTTCACAGAGTGCTCCCGGAGAAGGGCCTCGGCTGCCGATCTCAAGGGGCAGGAGGGCACATATGGACGTAAGCGTTCCTTTAGGTAACAAGGACCCAAGCTGTTAAGGCTTTATAGGTGATAACCAACACCTTGAATTGGGCCCGGACTTCAATGGGGAGCCAGTGAAGCTGACGGAGGACTGGAGTTATGTGAGCACAATGCCCACTCCCCGTCAGCAACCTGGCAGCTCTGTTTTGCACCAATTGAAGTATCTGGACTGTCTTCAAGGGCAGCCCCAGGTAGAGCGCGTTACAGAAGTCTAGTCGGGAAGTTACCAATGCGTGTGTCACTGTTGCCAGGCAGTCGTTCTCCAGCTAGGGACACAGCTGGTGAATCAGCCGAAGCTGAAAGAAAGCACTCCTCGCCACTGTTGTTACCGGAACTTCCAGCGAAAGCTCTGGATTGAGGAGCTCTCCCAAGCTGCGGACCTTGTCCTTCAGAGGGAGTGCAACCCCATTCAGGACAAGGTCAAGGTCCCCTTCCCCAAAGCCTGATCCGCCGACCAACAAGACCTCCATCTTGTCTGGATTGAGCTCCAGTTTATTGGCCCTCATCCAGCCCATTACCTCGGCCAGGCACCGGTTCAGTACAGCCACTGCTTCACCTGGATTGGTGGAAAATGAGAGGTAGAGCTGGGTATCATCAGCGTACTGATGATTCCGCAGCCCACACCTCCTAATGACCCCTCCCAGTGGTTTCATGTAGATGTTTTTTTTTAATATATATTTTATTAAAAGTTTTAAACTAACACTAATAAAAACATCACATACATCGGATTCACTGGATCAACCTCCTACACACACATTTTTTTAACATTCTAAAATCAAATTCAAATTACGCCAAGTCCCGTTTCTCCAGCCAATTATAGAAAGAGTCCCAAGTTCGATAGAAGTCAGTATCCTCTTTCTCCTTCAATGATAAAGTCAATCTATCCATTTCTGCGCAGTCCAAGATCTTTCTTATAATCAGTTCATCGGTGGGTAGCTCCTCATTTTTCCAATATTGAGCAAATGCAATCAACAGTACATTTCCTGTCTGTTGACGTCTTCTGGTATAATGCCTAACAAGAAAACTTCAGGTTTAAAAGCACAGGGTTTCTGTAATATTTCCTCCATCCATCTATGTATTTTAATCCAATATTTTTTCACATCACAAGTCCACCACAAGTCCACCCACTTTATGTTTACATTTCCAACATCTATTTGACATATTTGGAAACATTTAGCTAATCAGCTTGGCGACAAATACCATCTATAGAACATTTTATATAAATTTTCTTTATACGAAGTTGCTAATGTTATCTTGATGTTTCTTTCCCATAATTTTTGCCACTTTTCTAATTCAACATTAAATCCAAAGTTTTGTGCCCATATTATCATAGTTTCCTTAACCTGTTCCCCTTTTTCCTGTCAAGTAAAAAAACATATAGTCTTTTAATAATTTTCTCATCTGTTTTAAGCATCACTTGATCAAACTCTGTTAGGTCTGTAAAACCCCCATGTTTTACAATCTTTAGCATACCTCGATTGCATCTGTACCTTATACCACCAGGAAATATTAAGTCCCTGTTCTTGTATTTCTTGCTCCAGTTTCAAGCCACCATCCTTATCCAAGATATCATCATATCTTATGATCTTTTCAAAGTTCAATACATTTGGATATACAAAAGCTTCCATAGGTGAAAGCCATCTTGGTAATTTATTATACACTTTTGACTTTAGTTTTTCCCACACTGACATTAGAGATCTTCTAATAAAATGACTCAGAAAAGACCCATGTGACTTAGCTTTTTCATACCTCATATAAGCATGCCAACCCATCTGCAAGTCATGACCTTCAAGGTACAAAACTCTTTTATTTTGCAAAGTTATCCATTCTTTTAACCACATTAAAACAGACGCTTGATAATATAACATCCAATCGGGGAGACCAAAACCTTCATTCTTTTTAGCCTCCTGAAGCATTTTTAATTTAATCCTTGGTTTCTTTTTTCTCCAGATAAATCTCAAAATTTGGAAGTTTATTTCATCAAAGAATTTTTTATCAATTTTTACGGGAATGGTTTCATGTAGATGTTAAATAGCAAAGGGGACAAAATGGATCCCTGTGGAACCCCATGGCATAACTGGCTTGGCGCAGAGCCATAGTCCCCCAGCACCACCTTCTGGAATCGGCCATTGAGATAGGAGCGAAACCACTGCAAGGCAGTGCCTCCAACTCCCAATCCCGCTAGCCTCTCCAGAAGGATACCATGGTCGATGGTAGTATTGAAAGCCGCTGAGAGGTCCAGGAGAACCAACAGGGACCATTTATCCGGCCTGTCATAGAGGTTTTGGACTCGCTGCACATGTGCCCTGCGGCAGCTTGCTCGCTCAGAGAAAAGGATCCCCTCACGAGCAAGCTGCTGCCTCATGGTGCGCGTGCCCGGCGGCAACTTGCTTGTGTGGAGATCATTTTGGACTCGCTTGGAGAAAACAATCTGCCCATCCCCCGCCTACACCACCTTGGCGGCCCATGCCCATTGCTGGCACCTTTCAACTGACCCCCTGTTGAAAAAGTTTGAGGACCCCTGTTCTACAGGATCTAGCACACAGGGCTTAACAGGTCCCTTCAGCATGTGCAGCAGAATAGGTCCCCCCCAAAGAAGAACAAAG